GCTCAAAGTCGTCGTTTTTCGCCGTCGTCGTAGGACGCACGTGCCCGCGATCTATGCCGCTAGCCGTGTAGACCATGTAAAAAGAGTTGCATGGTTTTCTATTTGTATGCATGGCTGTGGTTCTGTTCCTATAGTTAAGTTGTTTCGCGCGGCGTAGCTCCCCTATAAAGGTCTTTATAAATGGTTGATGGGGTATTTAATTTAGCGTATAATTTCAAAGTTGGCTCAAACAATAACTCACCAAAGTGCTCTCCAGTTCTAGTTATGTTGGCATTCGGGGTGCCATTTGTCGTTAGATGTTCCATCGCGTATTTCATGGCAAATGCCTCAAGCTGCCGAGTGGCTACCAACAGATTTGTCGCCGTTTCGTGATAGGAACTGTTATTGGAATGTGCAAGTAGCCTTGAAGTTTCATTCACGGCAATCTAAATGAATAGAACCCAATAACTAGTGTACTTTGTACTTATCTCACCCCATGTATTACATTGTTCACTGAAAAACCTTATAAGGAGTGTACAATAAAATTTTATCTTATCTTATCTTACCTAACCCAATACTAAGGTAGATTAAAAATCAGTTTAACCTAGCTATAGTAGGCCATTAGACTAAGTTTGTCCCCGATTTAAATATCAGAGAGCTTAGCAATGGCGACGGTGACGGCAAGGACGACACCTAGTAAAACTTGAATTGAAATTTCACCTTCGAGTTTCGCAGTTACCCAGACCTGTTAACTGCGCCTATCGCTTTGATACCCTGGTTAATATGTAATCATCGACTTCAGTTCCTAAAAGGAATACGGATAATAAGCCAGCGCTGAGATGCACTTTGTGTTGTCGTTATGAAAGTCCATAAAGTTGCCATTTGAACTTTAATGAATGGACAGTTCTTCACAAGAATAGTTAATTAAGCTAAGCATTGGTGGTAGTTTTTTCCTTTGTTATCGAAACAACTGTTTTTTTTGTTTAAATTTACGTATGAATAGTTTATTCTGTTATTCTTTTACTTTATGGGAATGTAACGGCCCGAGATTGATTAACGGGTTGTTTAAAGTTGTGAAAACATTACGTTTAACGTTGTAAAACGTTACTTTGTCCAAAACGGGCAAAATTTGGTCATTTCGCATTGTTTGGTATTAAACATCTAGTATACTCGGATAAAGTACGTGCACATTGTTCTGTTCGATAAATATATATTTTTTTATTAATAAAGGTTCTCGTTGCTGATGCCGTCGTGGTTTGCTGCAGCTCCCTTAAATTACGAATAGACAAAGATATCACCCACCCCTAAATAACATGTTTATGCTTCACAGCGTTACCCCACGCCCTTGAATTCAC